GATAAGCAACTTCAGCAAACTCTCATGATATAAAATCCATGCGCAAAAATTGCTAGCATCCCTATATACCAAAAACAGGCAAGCAGAGAGCCAAATCATGAATGAACTCCCATTCACAATTGCTACAAAAAGAATAAAATACTTATGAATACAGCTAACAAGGGACGTGAAGGACTTCCTCAGAGAGAACTTCAAACCACTGCTCAAAGAAATCGAAGAGGACACAAACAAATGGAAAAACAATCCATGCTCATGGATAGTAAGAATGAATATCGTGAAAATGGCCATACTGCCCAAAGTAATTGAGAGATTCAATGCTATTCCCATTAAACTACCATGGACATTCTTCACAGAAGTAGAAGAAACCCTTTTAATTTTCATATGGATCCCCCCCAAAAAGGCCACAATCGCCAAGACAATCCTAAGCAAAAGGGAGAAAGCTGGAGGCATCATGCTACCTAACTTCAAACTATACCGTGGGGCAACAGTAACCAAGACGGCATGGTACTGGTAGAAAAACAGATACATGGACCAATGGACCAGAACAGAGAACTTGGAAGTAAGATCACACAATGATAAACATCTGATCTTGACAAACCTGACAAAAATAAGCAATGAAGACAGGATTCTCTATTTAATTAATGATACTGGGAGAATTGGCTAGCCATATACAAAAATTGAAACTGGGCCCCTTCCTTACAACTTATACAAAAATTAACGGAAGATGGATTAAATACTTAAATGTAACATCCAAAACTATAAAAACCCTATAAGAAAATCAAGGCAATATTATTCAGGACATAAGTTCGGCCAACGATTTCATGACAGAAATGCCAAAAGCCATGGCAACAAAATAAAAATCTGACAAATGGGATCTAATGAAACTAAAAGCCTTCTGCAGAGCAAAATGAACAATGATCAGAGTGAACAGACAACCTACAGAATGGGAGAAAACTTCTGCAATCTGTCTATCTGACAAAGGTCTAATATCCAGAGTCTACAAGAAACTTAAACACATTTACAAAAGAAAACTAAACAACCCCATTAAAAAGTAGGCAAAGGACGTGAACAGACACTTCTCAAAAGAAGATATTCATGCGGCCAACAAACATATGAAGAAAAGCTCAACATCACTGATCATTAGAGAAATGCAAATCAAAACCATAATAAGATACCATCGCACACTAGTCAGAATGGCGATTATTAAAACGTCAAAAAACTACAGATGCTGGCAAGGTTGCGGAGAAAAAGGAACATATATATATTTGGAAAATCTAAGACAATATTTAAGAAAAAGAACTAAGTTTGTAGACATACACTACTAAACATGAGATTTACCATAACGGTAGAGTAATTGAAACAGTATGGTATTGGATCAATGACAGACAAATACACTAAAGGTAGAGGACATGGAGGCCAGAAAGGATCTGGAAATGGAAAACAGCTAGATTTACCACAGAAGAGTGGAAAGACTAGTGTTTTTAAAAAATGCACTTCATAAATGCAGGGAAAATACAAACTTGGACTCTTACCCCATCCCACTCCAGAAAAAGTTACTAAAGATGGATAGTAAATCCAGTAAAAAACATAAGATATTAGTGTTACAGCTTTAGAATAGGCCAAGGTATTTTTGATTAGGATAAAAAGGCACTAACGATAAAGAATACATTGTTTAATTAGACATAATTAAATGTAAAACTTGTATTCCTCAAAAGACAGTCTTAGGAGTGAAAAAGCAAAGCATATCTGTAGATTACATATTATATAATATATAGTATAGGTTATATATAAAAATATACATTAATCATATGTATGTATATATCTGACAAAAAAATGAGTGGAATCCAGAATACAACCAGAACTACAAATCAATTTTAAAAAATAAACATTGCAATAAAACGTGCAGGAAACAGCTGAGTACTCATTCATAAGAGTCATACTCAAAGATGACTTTAATCATCACATAAAATATACCCAGACTATGACTTTACTCCAATCCATGAAAATTTATTTGAGATGAATGGGAGAGCTAAAAGACAGCTTAGAATATTATCATCATGGCATTGGGCGAGGCAAAGATTATTCTTAAAATAATAGGAAGCACCAGCCCTAAACAAGAAACTGATTAATAAAATTAAGAGAATCTGTTCATCTAAAACACAATATTGAGATAGTGTAAAAGCAAAACAGATTTGTAGAAGATACTAAAATTGTGTGTGTATTTTAATACATGTACATATATGCCTGTGTGTATGTGTCTAACTGAAACCCAGAACTTATATGTAAACCACGAATCCATTTTTAAAATACAAATATCTCAATAAAATTTGGAGGAAAAGTGCTGAAAAGGGACATCGTAAAAGACATATTTAAATGGCGAATAAACACATTTAAAAAGTGCTCTAAAAATAATAAATAGCTGGGCACAGTGGCTCATACCTGTAATCCCAGCACCTTGGGAGGCTGATGCAGGCAGAGGCCACTTGAGCCCAAGGGTTCGAGACCAGCCTGGGCAACTTGGCGAAACGCCATCTCTACCAAAAAATACAACGATTAGCCAGACTTGGCGGCATGCCCAAAACTGCAAATGCAGACATAAGGAGAGATCACTGCACACCCATCAGAGTGGCTGAAATGAAAGACTAATTGCACACCCAGGATGTGCATCTGGAACCTTCAAACATTTCTGGACAGAAATGTTTCCTACACAGACACCCGATGGGTACGGCTGAAAGGTGAGATAGTTCCCGGGGAAAGAGCTCCTTCACGACTGAGAACCAACGGAGGAAAAGCACCCCAACCTGGGGCCAGATAGAGCTCCCAAGGTCAGGTGGCCTCCCTCATGGCTGACACAGAGCTCTGAGAGTCCCACCATAGGCTTAGAGAATCCAAGAAACAGCACCCCACTCCCTCGCAGCACTGGGAGACAGCACCCACAGATAATAATTTAAAAACCCAGCACCAAGAGAAAGCATCCGATAGGCGTCCCAATCGGGGATAAACAGATCCAAAGAAAAGCCAACACATCCTAGCTGAGAGTGAGCAACATCCAAGGCCAAATGTGCCCCACGGCTGACATCAGCACCCAGCGAAGAGTCTCTCGCGGGCTGAGATAAACCCCGCGACAGAGAGTGAACCCACAGGGCAGTGATCATGTGTCCGCAGGACAGCCACCCTCACCCCAGCCCCGAACACAGACAGAGTCCCTAAGGCAGAGTCTCCCCGCAGGGTCGTGGCCAAGCGGGGAAGAAACACCGCCGCACCCGAAGGTGACACAGGCGACCAATGTAGGGTCCCCACCCCTGGGTTCAGTCATTGCAGCAGGAAAAGTTCGTCGCATCACTAAGAGGGAGTCCCCAAGAAAAGCTCCCCAGCCCCACAACATAACCGAGACGGGGTGTCCAAGGAAAAGACTCCCCGACAGCTGACACACGCGCCCATGGTAGTGTCCACACAGCGAAGCCGTACCACTCACCGGACAAAGAACACCCCAGAAAAGAAGCTTTCCTAGGAAAAAGGACACATTCTGGGGAGAAATTAAAGCATCCAGGGAAAAACTGCCCACTTACGTAGTCATGAAGTCTTGACCTTGCCAGAGGAGCTGCGTCTGCACTTCCCAAAATGGCAGAGAAGTTGTGGCGCCTCCCCACTGCTGGAACTTTCTAGAAACTTGCTCTCTGGGAGTTATGGGAAGTGTGCCCCGGATGCCTGTGAGTGATGCTCATTGGGAGGCGTCCCACCAGAAGCACCAATCTGGTAAGGCTCAAGGGAGGCAGAAGGCAGGGAAGCTGCCGGCCACCGCGGGCCCCGCCCCAGCCGAACACTGGGAGCCTGTTGGGGGGGCCAGAGTCCCGAAGTGAAGCCTCGTGCACTGCGAGACCGCCGGCGCCAACCGGAAGAACCAGGAAGCGTGGCGTCCCCGCCCTTCGCTAACTCTAACCCTCTTTACGCGCAGCCTTCGGTATCGGCAGTACGGCGGACATAGGCAGAGGAACGCGGAACCTCACACAGCGGAATCAAAGGGTGAATTTGGAGCTGACGGGCAAAAATATCTTATAGTATGTTTGTCTGGCTTTGATATCAGGGTAATATTGGCCTCATAGAATGAAGTAGTGTTCCTTCCTCTTTTATTCTTTTGAAATCCTTTGCTAAGTATTGGTATTACTTCTTCCTTAAATGTTTGATAGAATTTACATGCGAAACCACCTCGGCTTGCCTTCCATTTGTGGGGAGATTTTAAATTACTAATTAAATACCTTTCCATGCTATAGTCCTATTGCAAATTTCTATTTTTTTGAGTCACTAATTTGTTCTCTAGGAATTTCTCTGTTTCACCTACGTTGTTTAATTTGTTGGCATAAAGGTGTTCATAATGTATGTCTTTAAATTTCTCGCTTTCTTTGCGTGTGTGTGCACGTGAGACGGTGTCTCGATCTTTTGCTGAAGATGGAGTGCGGTGGCGCGATCTGGGCTCATTACTTCTTCTGACTTTCTGGTTCAAGCACTTCTTCTGTCTCGGTCTCCTGGGTAGCTGGGGTTACAGGTGGCACCATCACGCCCGGCTAATTTTTTGTATTTTAGTAGAGTCGGGGTTTCACCATGTTGGCCAGGCTGGTCTCAAACTCCTGACCTCAGGTGATCCGCTGGTCTCGGCGTCCCAAAGTGCTGGGATTATGGGAGTGAGCCACCGCGCCTGGCCCCTTTTAATTTCTGTAAGGTCAGTATTCATAACACCCTTTTCATTCTTGATTTTGGTAATCTGTGTAGTCCTTTCTTTTATTCTTGGTCAGTCAAGCTGAAAGATAAGTTAGTTTTTTTTTTTCTTCCAACTATTCTGTGAACCAATTTTTTATTTCATTGATTTTTATTTCACTGATTTTCTTTAATTTTCATCATTCCCCTCTTTCTGCTTGCTAGTATGAAATACATCAGTTTAAAACTTCAGGAATAACAAATGGTTTGTTTCATAAAGGAGGATTTGAAACCTTAAACATATTGAAATGCTTATGATATTGCCAAGTAGTAGTCATTTTCGACCAGTTAACCAGAAGGAAATTTGGTATGCTGAAACCAGACAAGTTTTTTGTACCAGGTTTTATTAATTTTGAAAATATAAATCTAGTTTGTAAGAAGGTGTTTTTTGCATGAGAAGTTTGTTTTTTTAATATTTAGACTTCTCATTTTCACTTAATCCCCCAAATTTATTTTTTTAAAGCTTCGAAGTATGTATCAACCAGCACATTCACTATCCTCTTTGTGCTTTATCTCTGATAATCCTTGTAAGAGCACCACGAGTTAGGTACTGTTTTATGCCCATTTTACGGAAATAGAATCTTAGGGTGCACATTTAAGTAGCTCTTTCAGGTTTAACCAGTTGGAAAGTGACAAAATCTAGGTATGTCAGATTCCAGAGATTGCACACACAAATACTATATCACACTGCTTACTGCTGTGAGTTTGGCAGAGAATTCCTTGTTTATATGGAAATCACAAAACTGATAATATCCAGGATAATTGGCAGCAGTTTATAAACCCTCTTTACCGCTACTTTGGTGATTTTGTGTGCGGTCACCTGTCCACTAATCTAATCGGATCTTAGGCTGGTCACACTTCTGAATTTGCACACCAAGTTTGTGTGTAAGGGTACTTCTCCAGGGGAAAATATCTGTAGATTTCATCAAATTTTCCAAAGAGGGTTAGGCCCGCTACTCAGCGTTCCCTGGAAGGTGAGAGAATGCCATGTAGCCTACACCCTTCTCCACCTGAACAACTTCATACAGTTGGCTATGGGTTTACAAATGATGGGCAGGTAGGACAACTAGGAAAGTGTATGTGCTCATTAATACATACTTCTCCTTTAAGCCTGAAAAGATGAACTTGTGGAATTACAAAAATTGGCATTCTAAATATTTACGTATTAATATTTAGAATTATAGATCTTTTAGTCGGGATGGTGGCATAAGGAAGGTCAGTCTGTTCTCAAACTAAGCTGGAGGCATAAGGGATTTGTTTAACCTAGTGGTGTGAACCTACAGGAAGTCGTGATGGTAGCGTGAGTCATCACTTAGATAAAGTGAGATTTATAGATCACAGAACATGATATAGATTCTAGATATGAGATTCTAAACTCTGTTTGCTACCAAGGCACCCATTGCTAAAACAGTCTGTGATCATGTGCTCTCAGGAGGATCATATATTTCAGCTGTATAGTGCCAATTTATGTGCCAGTTATGTTCCAGGTATAAATGAAAGTGTTCTAGTAACACACAGAGATAATTATCAGACATATCTGCAGATGCCGGTTCCTCCACTTCAAACGAGTCAGCCAACTCCACCTGGAAAACGTCACACTGTTGGCTCTGTGCTTACAAATGATGGCCAGGTAAGATAACTTTGTATTTCTGCCCTAATTGTGACATTCTTAGTATAAGTATTTTCTCAGTGGAAAGATGAATATAAACTATATGTGTTAATTCTCTTGATTTAAAAGATAAGAATATGACACAGGAATTCTCATGTGAACATAAAATGGGAACTTTTTGGTCCAAGAGTAGATTCATTGGACTAGGAGCTGATGTTTTTAATTATCACATTTAATGCTCATAATTGTTCTGCAGATGTGTATTACTATCTCGCCTTTATTTTTATTTTTATTTTTATTTTTTTTTTTTTAATTTTTTATTGGATTATAGGTTTTGGGGTACATGAGCAGAGCATGCAAGACAGTTGCGTAGGTACACACGTGGCAGTGTGCTTTGCTTTTCTTCTCCCCTTCACCCACATTTGGCATTTCTCCCCAGGCTATCCCTCCCCACCTCCCCCTCCCACTGGCCCTCCCCTTTTCCCCCCAATAGACCCCACTGTTTAGTACTCCCCTTTCTGTGTCCATGTGTTCTCATTTTTCATCACCCACCTATGAGTGAGAATATGCGGTGTTTCATTTTCTGTTCTTGTGTCAGTTTGCTGAGGATGATGTTCTCCAGATTCATCCATGTCCCTACAAACGACACGAACTCATCATTTCTGATTGCTGCATAATATTCCATGGTGTATATGTGCCACATTTTTCCAATCCAGTCTATTATCAATGGGCATTTGGGTTGATTCCACGTCTTTGCTATTGTAAACAGTGCTGCAATGAACATTCGTGTACATGTGTCCTTATAGTAGAACGATTTATAGTCTTTTGGATATATACCCAGTAATGGGATTGCTGGGTCAAATGGAATTTCTATTTCTAAGGCCTTGAGGAATCGCCACACTGTCTTCCACAATGGTTGAACTAATTTACACTCCCACCAACAGTGTAAAAGTGTTCCTTTTTCTCCACATCCTCTCCAGCATCTGTTGTCTCCAGATTTTTTAATGATCGCCATTCTAACTGGCGTGAGATGGTATCTCAATGTGGTTTTGATTTGCATCTCTCTGATGACCAGTGACGATGAGCATTTTTTCATATGATTGTTGGCCTCATATATGTCTTCTTTCGTAAAGTATCTGTTCATATCCTTTGCCCACTTTTGAATGGGCTTGTTTGTTTTTTTCCTGTAAATCTGCTTGAGTTGTTTGTAAATTCTGGATATCAGCCCTTTGTCAGATGGGTAGACTGCGAAAATTTTTTCCCATTCTGTTGGTTGCCGATCCACTCTAGTGACTGTTTCTTTTGCCGTGCAGAAGCTGTGGAGTTTCATTAGGTCCCATTTGTCTATTTTGGCTTTTGTTGCCAATGCTCTTGGTGTTTTGTTCATGAAGTCCTTGCCTACTCCTATGTCCTGTATAGTTTTGCCTAGATTTCCTTCTAGGGTTTTTATGGTGCCAGGTCTTATGTTTAAGTCTTTAATCCATCTGGAGTTAATTTTAGTGTAAGGTGTCAGGAAGGGGTCCAGTTTCTGCTTTCTGCACATGGCTAGCCAGTTTTCCCAACACCATTTGTTAAACATGGAATCCTTGCCCCATTGCTTGTTTTTGTCAGGTTTATCAAAGATTGTATAGTTGTATGTATGTTGTGTTGCCTCCGGTGCCTCTGTTTTGTTCCATTGGTCTATATCTCTGTTTTGGTACCAGTACCATGCTGTTTTGATTACTGTAGCCTTGTAGTATAGTTTGAAATCCGGTAGTGTGATGCCCCCCGCTGTGTTCTTTTTGCTTAGAATTGACTTGGCTATGCGGGCTCTCTTTTGGTTCCATATGAAGTTCATGGTGGTTTTTTCCAGTTCTGTGAAGAAAGTCAATGGTAGCTTGATGGGGATAGCGTTGATTCTGTAAATTACTTTGGGCAGTATAGCCATTTTCACGATATTAATTCTTCCTAACCATGAACATGGAATGTTTCTCCATCTGTTTGTGTCCTCTCTGATTTCGTTGAGCAGTGGTTTGTAGTTCTCCTTGAAGAGGTCCCTTACGTTCCTTGTGAGTTGTATTCCAAGGTATTTTATTCTTTTTGTAGCAATTGCGAATGGCAGTTCGCTCTTGATTTGGCTTTCTTTAAGTCTGTTATTGGTGTAGACGAATGCTTGTGATTTTTGCACATTGATTTTATATCCTGAGACTTTGCTGAAGTTGTTTATCAGTTTCAGGAGTTTTTGGGCTGAGGCGATGGGGTCTTCTAGGTATACTATCATGTCGTCTGCAAATAGAGACAATTTGGCTTCCACCTTTCCTATTTGAATACCCTTTATTTCTTTTTCTTGCCTGATTGCTCTGGCTAGAACTTCCAGTACTATATTGAATAGGAGTGGTGAGAGAGGGCATCCTTGTCTAGTACCAGATTTCAAAGGGATTGCTTCCAGTTTTTGCCCATTCAGTATGATATTGGCTGTTGGTTTGTCATAAATAGCTTTTATTACTTTGAGATACGTTCCATCGATACCGAGTTTATTGAGGGTTTTTAGCATAAAGGGCTGTTGAATTTTGTCAAATGCCTTCTCTGCGTCAATTGAGATAATCATGTGGTTTTTGTTTTTGGTTCTGTTTATGTGGTGAATTACGTTGATAGACTTGCGTATGTTGAACCAGCCTTGCATCCCCGGGATGAATCCTACTTGATCATGATGAATAAGTTTTTTGATTTGCTGTTGCAATCGGCTTGCCAATACTTTAATGAAGATTTTTGCATCTATGTTCATCATGGATATTGGCCTGTAGTTTTCTTTTCTCGTTGGGTCTCTGCCGGGTTTTGGTATCAGGATGATGTTGGTCTCATAAAATGATTTGGGAAGGATTCCCTCTTTTTGGATTGTTTGAAATAGTTTTAGAAGGAATGGTACCAGCTCCTCCTTGTGTGTCTGGTAGAATTCGGCTGTGAACCCATCTGGACCTGGGCTTTTTTTGTGAGGTAGGCTCTTAATTGCTGCCTCAACTTCAGACCTTGTTATTGGTCTATTCATAGTTTCAGCTTCCTCCTGGTTTAGGCTTGGGAGGACACAGGAGTCCAGGAATTTATCCATTTCTTCCAGGTTTACTAGTTTATGTGCATAGAGTTGTTTGTAATATTCTCTGATGATGGTTTGAATTTCTGTGGAATCTGTGGTGATTTCCCCTTTATCATTTTTTATTGCATCTATTTGATTGTTCTCTCTTTTATTTTTAATCAATCTGGCTAGTGGTCTGTCTATTTTGTTGATCTTTTCAAAAAACCAGCTCTTGGATTTATTGATTTTTTGAAGGGTTTTTCGTGTCTCAATCTCCTTCAGCTCAGCTCTGATCTTAGTAATTTCTTGTCTTCTGCTGGGTTTTGAGTTTTTTTGATCTTGCTCCTCTAGCTCTTTCAATTTTGATGATAGGGTGTCAATTTTGGATCTCTCCATTCTCCTCATATGGGCACTTATTGCTATGTACTTTCCTCTAGAGACTGCTTTAAATGTGTCCCAGAGGTTCTGGCACGTTGTGTCTTCATTCTCATTGGTTTCGAAGAACTTCTTTATTTCTGCCTTCATTTCGTTGTTTACCCAGTCAACATTCAAGAGCCAGTTGTTCAGTTTCCATGAAGCTGTGCGGTTCTGGGTCGGTTTCTGAATTCTGAGTTCTAACTTGATTGCACTATGGTCTGAGAGGCTGTTTGTTATGATTTCAGTTGTTTTGCATTTGTTGAGCAGTGCTTTACTTCCAATTATGTGGTCAATTTTAGAGTAGGTGTGATGTGGTGCTGAGAAGAATGTATGTTCTGTGGATTTGGGGTGGAGAGTTCTGTAAATGTCCACCAGGTTTGCTTGCTCCAGGTCTGAGTTCAAGCCCTGGGTATCCTTGTTGATTTTCTGTCTGGTTGATCTGTCTAGTATTGACAGTGGAGTGTTAAAGTCTCCCACTATTATTGTGTGGGAGTCTAAGTCCTTCTGTAAGTCATTAAGAACTTGCCTTATGTATCTGGGTGCTCCTGTGTTGGGTCCATAGATGTTTAGGATCGTTAGCTCTTCTTGTTGTATCGATCCTTTTACCATTATGTAATGGCCTTCTTTGTCTCTTTTGATCTTTGTTGCTTTAAAGTCTATTTTATCAGAGATGAGAATTGCAACTCCTGCTTTTTTTTGCTTTCCATTAGCTTGGTAAATCTTCCTCCATCCCTTTATTTTGAGCCTTTGTGTATCCTTGCATGTGAGATGGGTTTCCTGGATACAGCACACTGATGGGTTTTGGATTTTTATCCAATTTGCCAGTCTGTGTCTTTTGATTGGTGCATTTAGTCCATTTACATTTAGGGTTAAGATTGTTATGTGTGAATTTGATACTGCCATTTTGATTCTAAGTGGCTGTTTTGCCTGTTAGTTGTTGTAGATTCTTCATTATGTTGAAGCTCTTTAGCATTCAGTGTGATTTTGGAATGGCTGGTACTGATTGATCCTTTCTATGTGTAGTGCCTCTTTTAGGAGCTCTTGTAAAGCAGGCCTGGTGGTAACAAAATCTCTGAGTACTTGCTTGTTCGCAAAGGATTTTATTCTTCCTTCACTTCTGAAGCTCAGTTTGGCTGGATATGAAATTCTGGGTTGAAAGTTCTTTTCTTTAAGAATGTTGAATATTGGCCCCCACTCTCTTCTGGCTTGTAGTGTTTCTGCCGAGAGATCTGCTGTGAGTCTGATGGGCTTCCCTTTGTGGGTGACCTGACCTTTCTCTCTGGCTGCCCTTAGTATTCTCTCCTTTATTTCAACCCTGTTGAATCTGACGATTATGTGCCTTGGGGTTGCTCTTTTTGCGGAATATCTTTGTGGTGTTCTCTGTATTTCCTGCAATTGAGTGTTGGCTTGTCTTGCTAGGTGGGGGAAATTTTCCTGGATGATGTCCTGAAGAGTATTTTCCAGCTGGGATTCATTCTCTTCGTCCCCTTCTGGTACACCTATCAAACGTAGGTTAGGTCTTTTCACATAGTCCCACATTTCTTGGAGACTTTGT